GAATATATCTTGTAAATTTTGACATAAGCTCTTCACATTAATGAGGGCTTACATACGCTGGATAAGGCATGAATATACAAACAGTAACATGCTTGTTATGGGAAATAGAGAAGTTTTTACGCATGGTGTTTTATCAACAGGACCACTGTATAATGTTATTCAGAAGGGCAGAGATATTTTTAGTGTCCTTACGTATGCCAAGTCACTTTGCCCAGACAGTGAAGCAATTTGTGTTTATGTGACTTTGTACCTTTCTTCCTTCAAGTTGCTTATAATACTTGTGAAGAAGCCAAGATCTGAGAGAAATGAAAACAGTATGTGTTGTTTCTCTGCTTAAGAGGGAATTAGGAAGCAATTACACAAAACTCCCCTTGAAAATGTTGTTATGGTTAAAGGATGCCCTAGCCTGTGCAGATAATGCAGCCACAAACATTGAGGGGTCCATTCTGGACTGGATCTTCATAATATAATACTAGGCAAGAGAAAGTACCATGTGCAAATGATGGTAAGCCTAGAAAATAGTTCAGAGAAAAAAATTGACTAAGAGGTAGGGAGGGTGGCTGGTTGAGCCCCTTTGGTTTTTTGGGGTATTTTTGGGTTTTCGTTTCAAGTTGGTCTTCTGATCAGCTATCTCTTCTTTTCTTTGCTATACTGTATGTTATTCTTTTCATTTTACTTCACTGTAAACTTCCCAGAGTCAGCGTAGAATCAGGTGGCCTCGAAATTGGAATATTAAATATTCATTTAAAGAGAAAAGTGTCTCCAGTTCTTGACCATTTCTATATATTTAAATCTATTTGTTTTGACTTGTATTCCACAATTATAAGAGCACAGATGGCATATGTATAATGTAATGTTTGTATATCTACATAACCCTGGTAATCAGAAGACTGATCTGAATAAATATCCTACATCAGGCTTGTAGAATTCTATTCTTTAGTTACCTGCAGTTCTCCACTCCCCTGCTGTGCTGCCTCACCATGGTGGTGGTGGTGGTGGGGATCCTGGGAGGGATGAGTGAAGAATGTTGGGAGTCTATCCCAGCTGTGCAGCTAAAACAAGCAGGCACCTATATTGGACTGAAGAGGTAGAGGAATATGCTGGAGGCAGATAAACCACAAGGATAGACAACATAAAATGATTGACAATATAGTGCCAGATTATAGGTCCCTCAGGTCAGATGGCACTCAACATGCTACTCATGGAGATCTAAGGATCTTTCAGAGTACTAATAGTGTTTATGACATGGCTAGATTAAAACCTTTGGGACTTCTAGTTGCTGATGTTGCCGTGCAGGAAAAGAAAATCTGAAGCTGCAAAGACAATAATCACAGTGGAAACTTCCAACCATAAACTGGTATGCTAAAGGATGCCAATGGGCAGATAGTAACTAATCCAAAGATCAAATGAAGATGGAAAGATTATACTGAAATTTTGTACAGTAGAAATACCGACATCCAAGATACCTTAGAAGATATTCTCTACTTACAATAATCTGTAGTACTAGAATATCAGGGGGACGCGGTGGCGCAGCGGCTTAATGACGCTGAAAATTGTTGGCCAGAAGTGGTCAACGCTTCAGCGGTTCGAGTCCAGCCTTCG